CCACCGAAAGCCTCCAGAAATGAAAGTTGGGTAGTGCGTGAGGCGGAGGGCTTCGCCGCGAGCGTTTTGAGCTTCACGCATTTTTGAGCTGGGAAAGTAGTACATCCTCCATGCTTGCAACAGTACTACCATGTTCAAAAAAGGCGTTTGAACATCAAATGAAGGCGGAGGGTGCCTTCAAGGATGAGATGGTGGGGTGGGCTACGCATTCCAACTGCGCCCACTGCCAGCACCGCAGTGGCATTCAGAAGGCGATAAGGCCCATATAATGACTTGCGGGTCTAGGTCAGTGTTCTTTTGGAACACATTCACCAGCCCCAAGCAGGAAGCTTAGCCTACCCGAGAGAGAGAGAGGGGATGATTTGAGATTTATCGCTGGAGTGTACGCGTGGCGAATAGCGTCTAGTCTGCCTTGACAATGTATTTAAACCCAATCGCACTTAGAATGTCCCCTTAATATGGAGTTGCTGAGAATATATTGGGCAGTTGCGCAACAATACAAAGAAGAAGCTGAGAGCTCAGGGAACAAAAGACGCGAGAGTGCTACTTAATGGAGAGCTTGGTCTCATTCCTTCCATCTTAACCACACAATCAAGGAAATGAATTCAGTGAACGCTGGAGGCTTCAAAACAACAGCAGGAGATGACTTCCAAAAGTTACATTGTATTGTATATCTGCCCCCCCCTAATTGCGGAGATGTACAAAGTAGTTGAAAAAGAGCAAAGGAACTCACCTTCTCTGCTAGACTTTCATTGTGAGCACGATCAGACGAGTGTAGGCTTTGCAGGAGGAGGTCGACATACTTGTTCAGATGAGTAATCTGTTTACTGATAACATCCTGCCCTAAAGTATCAAATTACTATCAATTTATTGATAGTAGTTCTCATAGCACGCTGTAAACAGTAGATGTGTAGGTGGGAGAAATGCGAGAAATTCAATCGTGCATGGCTTCGTTCGATGTCGTAATGAAATCGATGGGCCGTCGCATCTATGAAAAAACAACGTTTACGACTCGCCGCTAATAAGAAAAACCTTACGAGGTTTCACAAACTGCACAACTCTTCCTGAGCAGGACATTGTGGAAACAATTTCATGACGCTTCGTAGGAAGGGGGACAGAACTTGGAGAATTCAGAATTCGTGTTTCACAACATTTTTGAAAGACAAGGTACTCGCGACTATGGGTTGAGAATCAAACTGTTAGGACAACGTGGTGCTACGAAAATTTGGGGGTGGGGGAAAGGGTGGTACAACAATGACAACAGTTCATACGTATTTCCTCTGCTACGA